TTTCAGTTTCAGTTTCAGTTAAGTTATATATGCTAAGATCATGATATTGTTATTATTTTCAATGTTTACATTAGTATGAGTTTCTGCGGAGCACAAGTGTTTTAGTGCTCACGCCCCCCACGTATTTCATGTTTTTTCAGGTCGCAGGGTCGGGGACGAGGAGTGTGCTGGCGGGCTGTTCAAGATATTTGTGATTTATGTATATATGTTTTGCCACGCAGTTATTTCCGCTAAAACTATCAGTACTTATTTTCAGCTTTTGGTCCGACGTTAGTCGGTTAATAGATTATAACCGTTTTATTATTCAGATTAAAATTTAACGGTTTTCAGAAAAAATCAAGTTTTTCACGGTAGCATCCCAAATCAGTTTTCGCAAAAATTAATATTTTATTATTCAGAAAAGTTGCGAAAAAACGCGTACTCTGATAGTATTAAAAGTCGGGGTGTTACAGCTGCCATGCCAAACCAATTTATCAGGGACATTAGAAACAGGTATAGGAATATTTAAAATGTTGACTGCATCTGAGGGCTCAAAGGTTTGTAAAATAAGCTCATGGTCCCAAGCCCTCTCATCAGCCTTGAACAAATCACATACTCTCACCAAATCATACCTGTCCTCCCAGAAGTGATACTCTGGTTTAAAAGAAGGGGCACTTGGTACCCATGGTGATTCCCTAATAAGGATGGACTCTACATTTCTCACCTGAAATCTAGCACCTAAGTTGGGAGATTTTCTAGCATGAAGAAGGCTTCTCCAGAGCCAAGAATCAGAGGCTCTAGGATAAGCATCTCTCAACTTAGAGTTCCAAAAATACTTGCCTTTGATGACTCGGCTTACCAACATGTTAGGTTTTGTGATAAACCTCCAAAGCTATTTGACTAGCAAAGCCTCATTAAAAGCAATTAAATCCTTGAAGCTCAACCCCCCACACTCTTTATTCTTTTGTAAGTTTTCCCTGCCCTGCCCAATGAATTTTGTCATTCCCACTCTCATTCTTGCCCCACCAGAAAGCTGCAACATCTCTGCAAATATTTTTTATGATAGAAATTGGAATCTAAAACATGACATGATGTAGGTGGCTAAGGCATTAAGCATAGATTTGATTAACACCTCCTTCCCAGCCTCACTAAGAAACTTGTTCTTCCAACTTCTAATTCTATTTTGAACACACTCACTCACAAAAAGAAAAGTATCTCTCTTAGTTCTCCCAATGCCCAAAGGGAGGCTGTTTGCCTATATTTTTAAAGCTCTACCGCAAGTGTACGGCTTCGCTCGTAGTATGTGGCAAGCAAGGTCGTATCCCAAGAGACCAAACAACCAATTAATCAAGTACTAGGTTATGATAGTGCCAATTTTATCTAGACAACCGGATATAAGAGTGATTAACTAAACTAAGAAAATAATTCAAAAGATAAGAAATCAATAACAAGAAAATAACTAGAAAAACACTTTAAGAAGAATATATGGGAATGGTAGATTCTAAGACTATGGGTTCAATTAACAGTTGGGTTCCTTAAAATATATCATAATTAACTATTTTCTTTATCTACCCTATAAGATGATCACAAAATTAGCCTATCGTCCCTCTCGAGATCGATAAAACCGTAGATTAAATTACATATATTAGCGTCTCCACTCAACACATGCAATTCAACTCCAAAAAGATTAAAAGACCCAAAATCCTCACAATTACCTACTAATCTCTCGATTCAAGCAAGTAAATTATGTCAAGTATTAAAGACCTAATATTGAACTCATCTCTCGAATTATGAACAATATTGTCAAACATGTAAAAGAATTGATCAAGTTCTAAACATGGAATAAGAACAAAATACTTGAATAGGGTTCAAAAGAAAAACAATCAATTATAAATAAATCATCTAAAATCCCAACATATTAATCTACTACCATGTCTTAGAATCAAAGAAATCTAGCTACTCATGTTTGAAATCAAATACATAGACATATTCAAAATCAACATGAGAAAACAAGTTCAAAAGATAGAAAGAAAAACTAGTAAGCTTGTCGTCGATCTTCTATTCTTCCCAATTGCTTCTCTTGCGTGTTCTCTGGCTCTCTTCCTTGTGTAATCACGTTCTCTCCCTCAAGATCAGGTAAATAGGTCTTTTTATATGTCCAAAAGTCCTCTCCTAAGCGAAAAAGGTAAGCGATAAAAAACTGCCCGCGTCGCGACACGACCTGACACGCCCGTGTCACCGGTCGTGTCACGGGTCGTGTCAGGTGTACACCTACTATTGCTTGCTGTTGTGGTGACACGGGCCCCGACACGGCCCGGCAGCCCGTGTCACCACCCGTGTCAGGTACAAGTGCACTCATTCTTGGCTCGTTTCTCTCGTTTCTTCCATTCTTTTCATCTGTGCATCGATCTATCATCATCCCGGGGGTTTTAGGCACTCACCATGCTCCTCCAATAGCCAAAGCTCTACAAATATGTGGAAATATCTACAAAACGAGCACGGGTAATACCTTTCCAACAAACATAGAATTAAAGCACAAATATGCAATTTATACACCACAAATGTACCAATCAAGCTCTAAATACTATATGGATGTAGTGTAAAATCACACATGAACACAAGACTCCATGTATTGTTTCTGTGTAAGGCATTTAATTCTTCTTGCATTGCCATTCTCCATTGCTTAGCTGAAATGGCCTCATCTAAGGAAGTGGGCTCTACCTCTTGACATTCTGTGAGATAGACTTTGGGCTTATAGATTCCTGCTCTAGCTCTTGTGACCATGTGGTGTTTTCTTGTTGGCTCATCTCTTCTTGGTTCCTCATTTGTATCTGTTAAGCCTGGTAAGTCTACAAATAAGGGTATTGCTGGATAACTTGCAGTCTCTGGACTTAAGCTCCTTCTTGTGGATGAGGATCTCCCTTGAGTTTGTATGCTTGTGCTGTCACTTTGGTT